TAAATATCATAGTTATGTATAATATATTACATTTCTGACTGTATATCCCTGTAATTATTACACACTGTAGCTTTAAGGATAAAATCAAATGCGCATCTACACAGCACAGCGTTCACAGACCAGAATGATATCTGACTCGGCGCCGCGCCGCGCTGCAAACGCGCAGCTGCTCAAGATGGAAAAATCTAAATTTCGCTGCTCGACGCGCCGCTGAAAGCAAACAGCTCGTTGTTCTTTTCCACACCTTCCTTAAAAAAATCTGTCTTTGTTTCACAGCGTCCAAATGTTCTCATCCCATTGAAAACTGTTGTAAACCATATGCTTTTGATAAAAATGAAATAGAAAATGGAGTGTAATGATTAAAGACTAAATCCTGAAGGAAAATAACTTTTTCCTGTGTGAAACTTAGTACTTTTATATATATATGTCTGTTTTATTATTAACTTACAATTTATCTTTGTTGTACTATCCTTAATAAACAGTCTGTGTTCTAACATCAGGCGTTTTATTTATATAAAATAAAACCTACTATAATATGTCCCCCCTGTTTAAATCAGACAAAAAAAGGTCCCAGCTTTTTCATTTTTGACTTATACGCATCTTTTATGATGAAAACTCAGACCTTTGTTTCTTAAAGTTACAAGAAGGGAACAGATTATAGCCGGTCACCTGCTATAGTCAGCGCCCCCTACCGAACAAGATGGGTAGCCTTAATGCTTTTTCGTTTTCAAGTTGTGGACAGTACTTTGCAGGCAGACCATGGAAATGAAAAAGCAATGTCCGCTGTGTTTTCTCCTTGATTAGGGCATAAAAGTGCAGCGTTAAAGAAGAAAATTCAAATGCAAATAGGATGATTGATTACTAATTTCATTTATGAGTCAAACAATGCAGCCACATTCTTAAAATGAAAAAGCATTTCTGGAAATGCTTTTTCATTTTAAATATGGTAACAATTTGCTTCCATAATTGTGGGACCATTTCAGGTGATGTAACCGGCATGCGTTACATAAGCTGCTCTGTTATTCTTATTTTCTGTCCAGTTTGGAGATATTATTGGTAAATTTCAATGAAACGACTAAATCTCAGGAGGCTTTGCCTCATGCAGAAGGTCTCCAATAATTGACATCAGCATATTTGTCTCACCAGATTCCCTTTTATCAGTGGAAAAAAAAAAGCATTTTTGCACTTTTGGCATGGTGGCAAAATCCCATTTCCTCCTGGCTCACTGCCCACTAAAACCTTTGTGGAACAAACATGCTTTAACCTATTCAGTCCAAATCTTCTTGAGTTCTAGTCTAGATGTGGATCTATAAAGTCTGAGGTTCATCCAGAGTTTCTAATGGGCTTTCATGGTGTTTATTTTGGAAAATAATTTGGCGAGGCTAAATAATTTTCATTTTTCCTCATTTAATCACCTATAAAACAGACATGGTGACATAGTTCTACCTGAAAAATATTCCTTGATGCCATTCTGTTATAAAAATACAAACAATTGTATTTCCGATTTATAGTTTGGGAACTCTCCCTCTCCGCCCGAAACGCTATCATCACTATTTTGAGGGATTTCTAAAGCCTGTTTGGCTGTTAGATTTCTTCTGAAAGCCATTCTTTCGTATTAGCCAAGGAGTTCCAGGTAGAATGTTGGTTGCTAGGCAACAGTACCATACGTCAATCAACCGCGGGAAAAATTTACAATGCAACTAATAGAGCCGTCAAAATGACGGCTTTATTTTATTTAAAAAACTACGTGAAAATAAAGGAAATATAGAAACAGGAAAATTCAGTTAACATGAGCGACATGATTAATTTTAATTTCCCTTAAAAACCTCAGAACCATCAAAATGACGGCCTTGGGAGTTCTAGTGTTAAGAGTTTAACCCCACACTGCTCCCCGGGTGCCACATGGCGGCAGCCCACTGCTCCCCCAGGGGGCGGGTTAAATGCAGAGGTACATTTCTCCAATGTGAGATCGATTAAGTTCAATTATTATTATTATTAACCTTCCTCTGTACCTGGGAGAAGGACCTGAGCCCTCCAGCAGCCCTCCCACATCCTCCGCCCTGATGCCGTTCCTCTTGGGCTTCTCCTGTGGTGGGGGGCTGACCAGGATGTCGGGAGCGCCGCCGTTCTCATAGTGGGTGATGCTGCATGACGGTAGGGGCGGAGCTGCCTCCTCTGAGGAAAGGTGTGAGCCAACAGGGGTGAGAGAGAGTCACAGTTCCTGAAGCAGGTTCCCGTCCTCCTGTGGGGGTTTTCAGATTAGCAGGAATGTTTGGAAGAAGATCCTACCTGTAGTTGGGAAGGAAGGAGAGCTCTGCTGCACGGCGTTCAGCTCCAGCAGAAGGCGGTCCAGCTCTGAGAGGTTGCTGCCCAGAGCCGAGCTCATGGCTGCCGAAGACGAATCCGACGTCTTGTGTTTGTTAGGAAAACTGAAAGCGCACACAGGAGAGGATGAGGCCTGCTTCACCCCTGGAGGCGTTTCCATGGAAACAACTCATACCTGTAAACATGGTCCTCCTCGATGTGCGACAGCGGAGAACTGCTGCTGTCTCTGGACCACGAGTTCTTCTGGGCCGAGCCCAGAGACTGCAGAGAGTAGTCAGAGCTCTGAATCCCCTCACATGAGCCCAAACCCAGTTTAACGTCTGAGAACATCCCGCGTTCCTGAGGAGACCCACCTGCTGGGAAGAGTGGTGGGAGTCTGGCTGATCCGTCAGAGAACCATTCAGAGCGTCGGCTGAAGGTGGAGGAGGAACCGGAGGAGGCCTGGACACGTCCTGGTAGGGAAGTCCACCTGTTGGGATGGAGTAGGGCGTCTCATCAGGCAGGAAGACCGGCCTCTTGGAGATGTGGGACGTTGTGGACTCCAGGTCTGCTAGCAGCGCATCTGAAAGGTAAAAATAAGTCTTTGCTACAGGAAGCCTTTGCAGCCAATCAGAACGACACAAATCAAGTGTTTTAGGTAGAGAAACGGGTCAGAAAGTTCAAACCAGCGAGTAAATGGATCATAGCAAACCACCTCAGAATAAACTGATGGCTGCAGAGGAAGAGACGCTAATGCTAGAGAGAGAGCAAGACTTTGACCAGATAACAGGAAGGCTGAATGGAAAACAGGATCTGGTCCAGGTTTCTTCCTCTTCCTCCCTAAATGTGAGTAAACAACACAATACAGCCAACGGTCTGCCACCTACTGATTTGTGACATTGTCACGGTGCGGTATCGGATGTTGATCAAGTCCCAGTGCTGTATCTGGTGTTTGTCACAACGCGCTATTATCCAAGTCATCTTGAAAACATTCTTCTTCCAAATGTTGGCTA